GCGATCAATGACATCGCTGATGATCTGCCGGTCTCGATCGGTAGATCGCTCTTCGTGGATGATTTTGCCATTTGGTTTGCCGCTTCAAGCGCTCGGCATATGGCCAGACAGCTGCAGCTTGCAGTGACGCGGTTGGAGAGATGGAGTCGAGACAACGGTCTTCGTTTTTCAACAACGAAGACCGTCGCTATGCACTTTTGCCGCCGCCGCTGCGGCGACCTTCCCTTGGGAATCCAGCTCTATGGACAGATGATTCCTACTCGTCCGGTGGCGAAGTTTCTTGGGATCTTTTTTGACAGTCGTTTAACGTATAAAGAACATTTTAGAACGCTTCGGGAACGATGTTTTAAATCCCTGAACGTTTTAAAATGTGTCGCCCGCACATCTTATGGTGCGGACCGCAGGACCCTTCTTCTTCTATATCGATCAATTGTACGATCGAAGCTAGATTACGCTTCTTTTGTCTACGATTCAGCGAGTGAATCTAGCAAGAGGGTCCTGGATACAGTCCATCATGCAGCACTCCGAGTAGCCACCGGAGCATTCCGCACCTCGCCCAGGAGCAGCATTCTTGCTGAGGCGCATGAACCGCCACTTTCACTCCGCCGTCAGATGTTGGGTATGCGGTACGCGCTGAAACTGCGCCAATTTCCTATGCACCCGACGTACCCATACGTTTTTTCACGGCATGCCACCCGATGTAACGGAAGGTTACGACCCTCGTTCGGAGTGCGCATGAAAGAACTGTTTTCAATAGCTGACATAGCATTGCGTAACGTTCGTCGTACCTGGGCTGCGCCCCCTCCACCGTGGAAAAGTGTCAGTCCACAGGTGGATCTTTCGCTTTCTGCAGTTCCAAAGGGCAAGTTGCTGCCTGCAGAGGCACGAGTCCGAGCCTTGGAACACCTTGCCTCTTACGATGGTTTTATTCCTGTATTCACAGACGGCTCTAAAACACCTGAGGGAGCGGGCTGTTCTTTCGTCGCTGGCGACGATACCCGTTCATTTTCGTTGCCATCTTTCGCCTCGGTGTTTTCATCGGAACTTGTTGCCATCGAGAAGGCTTTGTGTTTTATTGAGGTATCGGACGGACCTTTTTACTTGATTTTATCGGACTCCCTAAGCAGCCTGTTGGCCCTACGGAGTTTTAATCCAGCCGACCCGATCGTTCAAGACATTTTAGCTCGGCTTCAGTCAGTAGAACAATCGGGTAAATCTGTTCAGTTCTGCTGGATTCCCAGTCACGTTGGCGTTCATGGCAATGAGCTGGCAGACGCGGCTGCAAGGCGTGCTGCTGCAGCACCCTGCACTCGTCGGTTGCCATTGCCGGCGCGTGATTTTTACCCTGCTGTACGATCTTTTATTCTAACGGAGTGGCAGGCAGAGTGGCGCCTGCGTGGAGGCAGGAAGCTCCGAGAGGTGAAGCCGACTCTGGAGCATTGGAGGTCTTGCTCGCAAGACAACAGGTCAAACGAAGTGATTTTATGCAGGCTCCGCATCGGTCATACGTATGCGACGCATGGCCACCTTCTCCGCGGAGATGAGCAGCCCGTTTGCGGCGGGTGCGCCGTGCCTCTCACCGTCGCCCACGTGCTTTTATCTTGTCGACGCTTGGAACCGGACCGGACTCGCTACCTGGGCCGCATCGCTCCGGATATCACCGTCCGCCACTTGCTGGGTGACGAGTCACCCTGGGTTTTATCTGGCAACATCTTTTCCTTTATCCGTTCAATCAAATTCCAAGTAATCTACTCGATCTGATACCAAACCAACTAGTCCATACGTCTATTCTAATCTAGTCCTTACGCCTAGTCAGCTGTCTTTTACGATACGCTTGGAGTATTTTACCCTTCTTTGCTCTTTTTAACCAGCTTTTAGGCTTTTTTAAGCCTTTTATTACGTCGGTTTTCTTGTGACACACTTGCTTTACTTGTATATAGTTATGGGCGCAAAATGACCTTGTAGTCGGCGCGCCCTTAAGCCCCAATAAACAAACAAACAAGGGCTCCCAAAGTACACCGTTTTGTTTTGCTCCGTGAGACCGAACTTGTGCTGCGATTTTCATGTAAATGTTGACGAGTCTCCTGTCATATTCTTTGCTTGAAAATATGTAAGTAAGATATCAGCTGAAAGGGGAAAATGTGCGGAATCCATTGGTAACAAAAGTACATCTAAAAAACTTCCCACTCAGTTATTGTACGCTAATTGTTGCACACTTGCACAAAGCAGAAGGGCTTGAGGATTTCAATATTTACATAGGCCTACCAAAAAACGCACAGCGTGCTTCACATCGAGACAACGTCCATAACATATACCGTACAATTGTGATTCATTTGCTGAAAAAATTAGGTCGGCATCACACTGCCGGCAAAAGTTATTGCAGTTCTAGTGACGCTAGGTCGCCGCCCCGCCGCCGACCTTGCAGCTGACGTCCGTGCAGTTCGGCAGCTGACCAATCAGCTGCGAGAGAGGAGCGCGGTCCGTCTAATCGCCCCGGCAGTTGCTTGTGCGGAGGGGTGCTCGACGCTCGTGTCGATTGCATTTGTTGGTTGTCGATTGTCGATTGACTTGTGGGTATACTTTCTGGTGACCAATAAATGTTCGTCGTCATAACTAAATGTAGTCTGATCAAATTCAATAAAGCAAAAAGACATCCAGCCAACAGAACATCGTAAGAATGTCCGATATGGTTCATAACATTCAGAGTTTTGGGGAGCAGCCATCGACCAGAATGAACCTTATTGGCTTTTGTATGTAACATTTGCATTGCTTTTGGAAAGTTTCAGTCAGATATCTTCAGAAATGGCAATGTTATCGGCTTTTGCATTTTACCGTAGTCGGTTAACATAATTTTCGATATTGCAAAGGCACTTTCAGTACGTTCTTGATATCGAAAACCAAAACGAATAGCATCATCGTGTTCCAGAGCTCAAATTGCATCTGACGCACGTCTTTTTTGTTGAGAATGCTCAACTTCAAATTTTGACCTTTTTGACCTCGCCGTGACCTGACCTTCATTTGTCGAATGGAAATAGTTTCGAATCGGACGACCCAGATGACATCATTTTTAGATGCTTTTGCCGAAATGGACCATTAAAGATGTGTCGCATGGCCTTAAAAATGTATGCATTTCCTTCCATGACCTTTTCCATGACCTTTTGTGACCCATGACCTTTCCATGACCTTTTGTGACCCATGACCTTTTGTGACAAAGTTAGGTTTCGTTTGTCAGCTATTCCTATCAGAAGCCGTTTTAATTTTTAGTATTGAACGAGTAGTTTCGAGGACAGCAGGGATGCTATGCAGAATCCCCTCCCGAGTTACCCACGTTATGGGATATACCCGTCATCCGCGGATTACAAGCAAATATATTTTTACGGCAATGCTGGATCAGCAGGATGCTCATACGTTCACATACGTGACTTTAAGGTTTACTTCACTTATAATAAAAATTCCATGGCAAAATGTCAACTGGTTAACGAGTTATCGCATTTTGGCCACTTCCGAACTCAAATAGCGGCTGTGTGCGGCGGAGGCCCGTCTTGGAGCGTCGATCGCCGGGTGGCCAGCGTGACGTCAGCGGCGGCTCGGCGGGCCCGGATCGCCGCCCCCGCCCGCCGCCGGCAGCGGCGCTGATCAATGCCGCCGGCGGTATCACAGACTGCCGAGGAGCCGACCCGAGACCCGGCGGACGGAGCCGTCTGTCACAGAGCGGCACGCGAGCGCCGGTGACCCTGCCGACATCAGCGCGGCTGACACACGGGGCGCTGAGCTGGTCGAGCGGAGAGGCCGGCCCGGCCGGCGCCACAGCGGCAATCCTCGCCCGCCGCCCTCATATCGATTGTCAGAGCCAGCCCGGGTCGGGATTGTAACCGCTGAGCTGCTCCGGTGTGGATCAGCCTCAGAGCCGAGCTGGGATGGGGCGCCGGTCCGTGCGCGGCCGACCGCACCCAGCCGGCGCCGGCCGAGCGGGGGTGGGACGCTAATTGGCAGCTCTGCCCCCGCCCGTACTGCCGTACAACCAGGGTCGTACCCGGTCGTATCCAGCCGGTGTGGTGTTGGGGTGGGAGTCCGGTCCAGTCACCGACTGCGCCGCCCTATATTACATCGAGACGGACGGGAAAAGGCGGACTGCTAACAACGGAACTTTGTCACAAAGGCGCTGTGGTATTCACGCAACGTCGCCTGCCGCTCCAGTCCCTTCTAAAGTGTTATATCGGCTCACCCCCGCGCCTGTGATCGCGCCTGGTAAAATGCATGCCTGGCGGCGATTTGCTTATTCGGGCTCCCCTGGGGCGGTAGCGGCGGCAATGGCGTCAATATTGCGGGCTGAATGGCTGGCGTACGACCGAGTATAGACCCCGGTACGAGCCAAGATTCTTGGTACGAGCACGGGCGACCGTTCAGGCCTGCCCGCCCGCCCACTGGCCGGGCTGCGCCGGCAAGCTGCTATCTTTGTACCGCATGGGTTTCCTTCCTGTATGGATAGTATAAGGTGATTACCTGATTGCGTCGATTTGCTAGTCCAAACAAGTTCACGGTTCGTAGCGAAAACAACCTCGCCTTAGTCTCACCTCATCATATCATGCTTGGATTAGCCCGTGGTGTCGTAAGCGAACTGGCTAAGTCAACACAATAGGAGCCGTTTGCATGTCGTCTATGTTTTGTCACGATGAAACATGTCGACTTGCCTGTGTCGTAGCTGCTGGAACATAGGTAATGCCTCGGTCCCCGTTCATATCCGAAATACGACTAAATCATTCACCCGAATCACCTTTTCACTGGTCTACTGTGAAGCCATATCTTAGATCGCATTTGTAAGCTGTGTTTCGTTTAGATCGTGGTGATACTCGCAGTCGCTAATTGCTTCTGGAAAGCTGGTATAACCCGTACACCCACCCCGTATGAACGATCAATACTCATCAATCAGTAATCCGTACATACTGTATGTCTCGCCCGACCCGTCTGACCGGTGTATCGCCGTCTCTATGTGCCGCCAGGTGTCTGTGAACCTGTTTCGCACGCTGCCGCCGTCCTCCAACCCCTCGGGCGCCGAGTTTGACCCGGAGGAGGACGAGCCCACCCTAGAGGCCGCCTGGCCGCACCTGCAACTCGTCTACGAGTTCCTGCTGCGCTTCCTCGAGTCGGTCGACTTCCAGCCCAATGTGGCCAAACGCTACATTGATCAGAAGTTTGTACTGCAGGTGAGACTGGGTTTCATTGTGTTTGTGGTCGTGGTGGAGTTCGTTCCAAGCGTCCGGCGACTGGAGTGGGGTGCACACTGCTCATAGAGCGATGTAAATCTTTAGGTCCTTTACCTTTGCGAGCGAACGATTAAATTATGTGGATGGTTACCAGGGTAGGGTAAGGTTATGTTGCAAGCTGCGTTGTGCCGGATGAATCTGTCACCGTCATTCTCCATTCATCCCGTCCCATTCCCCATCAGACCCTACACTGTTCTGTTCGTAACACGTCACCGCCACACACCGTCTGTTCCGTGACGAACCGTTACTAATGCTGGCACCGGACGTCGCGCCACGACTGAACACGAACATTAACTGAAGGAAAACGGCGTACGGTGGTGCCGCGGACTACCCAGAGCAGTTGATGCCAACCGGTTGCCACTTGTAGATCATTGTCCGTTGCGATCCAAATTGACAGCGCAATGGCGGCGCGACCGAAAAACACTCCGCCCGAGCCGGCGCGGCCGGCCGTGTCGTGGACAATGGCGTGGACGCCGCGCCGGCCACGCGGCTGGTTTCACGGCGGTGCTGGGCCGACGGCATAAACAAAAATGAGCCCGGCCACAACGGGTTAGGAGTGGCTGACGTGGCTACGGCAGCGGACGGTGGAGGCGGCGGCCGCTCGCCCGATTTGTCCGATCGAAGCGGCACGGTTGTGAGGCCGACCGGCCGCCAGCCGGGCGGCGGGCTGTGGGTCCTGAACAGCGCTGGATAGCAGTCATATCGACCCCGCCCGCCGCCGGCTGCTCAAGGCTGCAACGGCGACGGACGGCGAACGGCGGTTGGTGGATGACGGCTGTCGGGGGCGGCGGATGACGCCTGTCTGTGCCGGCTGATGGCAGCTGATGACGACTATCTATAGCATCTGATGACGGCTAGTCACTGATGACGCATGACGGATTCCGCCCCGTCCCGTATGCCCCTCGGCTACGCCGATGTTATCCATTGTCCCCCATCATGTGTGTCATACCCTGTTCTGCCGCATTAGGCCCGAAAGGAGCCCCGATTTTGCGTGTACGTGGCGTGACGAGAGCCATCAGCGGCCGGTCGCGACGGTCACCAGTGTGACGGTCGTGCCGTGTGTTCGTCTTACAGCTGCTGGACTCGTTCGATTCGGAGGACCCCCGAGAGAGGGACTTTCTGAAGACGACACTACATCGCATCTACGGAAAGTTTTTGGGCCTGCGCGCCTACATCCGTAAACAGATTAACAACATTTTCTATAGGTGAGTCTACCGGCTAGCTAGTGTATGAATAAGTTGATTCATATGGATGTTTAGCTTGCTCGATACGAAAATATCTACCAATCCTGTGCGCGAATGATTACCTTGCTTCCGATGCGCCCCTTGACCTCCCCAAGCAACTGATGTAACGGTGACATTTTTGTCTCCCTAGTTCTCTTCCTCTCCTTCTCTCGATGTCTCGAGGTCTCCGTCTTTCACTTTTCCTGCTGCTCCCCTGTTTCTCCTCTCCCATTCCATTTCCATCCATCCTCTCAGCTCGCCAGTCCATTTGAACCGTCCACCCGTCCTCGAACCGGTCTCATTCGTCCCTGTCCGTCCCACCCACCCTCCTTCACCCGTGGAGTGCCTCCCCATCGACCGGGCCGGCACAGTCGCGAGATCGACGAGCTAGCTGTCCGTCGGGCGGGCAGGATGGCTGCCGTTCACCGGAGATGATGACGGCTTGTCATCGACCGGCTGAGTGGCGGTGACGCCGGGTGACGGTCGGTGACGGTCGGTGACGGTCGGTGACGGTCGGTGACGGTCAGTGACGGTCGATGACAGCTCGTATAGTTCCGATTGGTGCCGTCTCGTCGGTCGTTCCCTGTGGACCTGTATAGTGTCTGGTAGATCGCCTACAGCCCCAGGGACTGACTTACGACGGGGGACTGGGGGTAGTGATGATAAGACGAGGTTACTGTCGTGCTGGGACAGAGAGGATGCGTCTTGATGTTGATGCGTGTCTTTGGGGTGGGCTTGAACGGGTCATTCTCATCATCCACGTGGCTGTGCTGCACTTCTGTCATGTTTGTATATGAAAGGGAACAGAGTGCAATGACTGTGATGCTCCCGGTGACAATTGTTGTACTTCTCCCCAGGTTTATATATGAAACGGAGCACCATAACGGCGTGGCCGAACTGCTGGAGATCCTGGGCAGCATCATCAACGGCTTCGCGCTGCCGCTGAAGGAGGAGCACAAGTCGTTCCTACTGAAGGTGCTGATGCCGCTGCACAAGGTCAAGTCGCTCTCTGTCTACCATCCGCAGCTGGCCTACTGCGTAGTCCAGGTATGTGGTTACGGCTGGTGGCATACGAACCGTATCGACGGGAAATGTATATGGCAGTGATATGATCTCAGCTTTGCAGCCGCGTATCGCGTACCGGCTCTGTGTTATGTTGTGATATAAATATACATATTGACTACGTTGAAGCCCAGGACAGACCTCCGACACACTAGGTAGGTCATGTGTGCTTATGAGTTGTGGATCTTGTCAACACACCTGTAAATGTATGTTGTCCAACCATCAGTGTGTTTATTTGCAAACTTTTTTTTTCGACTCGCGTCCTGGTGTAGACTTTGGCATGTCCCCCGCGATGCTGTGATCCGGACCGGTTCGACTTTGGACTCCTGTTTTATTGTCTGTTCCGTGCCTCTGTATCCACGAAGACTAGGGTTCCTTTTTTATCGTTTGCGCTACGTCCCTGCAGTTGTCCGGTCCATATCCTATGTCTCGATAACGCGTATTTGTGTGAATGTATGGTCTATCCTGTTTTTTTTTTCATCTGGGAGGATGTGAATCTGCGTTTGTGACGTCTGTATCGCGCTCCATATCCGGCTCGTATCCAGTGTTCTTGTCCGCGACTGCGCCCCGTTCCGGGGTGGTCGACCGGCGGTGTGTAATTGCTCCCCGGCTGTTGTTTCTCTGGCCGCTGCAGGCGGCGGTGTCCCGATATTGGCTGCGACCCCGCGGGGAGAAGTTGAGCCGTGGACAGACGGAGTCAGTGCTGGGACGGCTGGGCGGTCGGGGCATGTCTATGTTGTCACAGGATACTTTCATGTTGTACATTTCCCCTAGACTGCTTGATAGCCGTCCATCGGCAATCGGCATACCGGTTTTATGCTCACGTGCCCGTTATTCACGTGTGCTTGGTGGATGTATCGGCGTGTCATCTTGTCATCCAATTCGAAGAAGCACTTAGTACCGCGCTGTTGATGTACTGTCGATGCCTTCAATCTGGCCAATCTTTCCGAAAATTCTTGTCATGGTTTTCCGTTTCATGCACTAACAGTGGTCTCAGCTGCAGCTTTCCGAATCGTTTCCTTAATATCTGATCGGGCTGCGCTCTTCGTCTTGACGTCCTCCTGGTCTACCCGAAATGACACGTGCTAACCACTGCACTGTCTGACACCTTCCTCCCTTTTTCTGTCCCTCAGTTTCTGGAGAAGGACCCGTCGTTGACGGAGCCGGTGATACTGGCGCTGCTCAAGTACTGGCCCAAGACGCACAGTCCCAAGGAGGTGATGTTCCTGAACGAACTGGAGGAGATCCTGGACGTGATGGAGCCGGCCGAGTTCCAGCGCGTCATCAAGCCGCTGTTCCAGCAGATTGCCAGCTGCGTGGCCTCGCCGCACTTCCAGGTGGGCGTGACGGACGGCTGGCTAGAGAGACTGATTGCCGGCGTTGGAACCCTGGGCGATGTGCTGCTTTTCAGCGGCTAGACGGATGGCTTTCTGAATCACGCCGACTTGAGCCAAATGAAGAAGTTGTTTTGGACAGATGACTTAAGTAATTGATATGAACCGTCCGGAGGTTCGCTGTGCTCGGTAACGCTGGGAACGTCTTGCTCCTGCCTCAACATCTACTAGTAACTCTCTGATGTGCCAATGATGTGCGCCGTCGTATCGACGTTTCGGTGAACTGATGCGGCGTTGACGTTCCATCAGGTGGCGGAGCGGGCGCTCTACTACTGGAACAACGAGTACATCATGTCACTGATGACGGAGAACGCCACCGTCATCCTGCCAATCATGTTCCCGGTGCTCTACAAAAACTCAAAGTCCCACTGGAACAAGTGAGTCATTCATACATTGATCGTATTGCCAACACTTGCTGCGTGGTCGGAACCGATCCGTTAGAATCATAATACCCCTGTCAGCATTGATGGAGCGGAGGCATTGTTTAGAGCGTTGTGAGAGAACCACAGCAGCTAAATCATACATAGGCCGCGCAAGGAGCATATGAAAGCGTTACAATTGTATTTGGGACGAGGTAACCTACCAATGTTAATTATGGGCGCAATTATCGGGTCGTATTTTGCCTGGCGTGCCGTCTGCATCTGGTCAGTGAAGCACGACTCCGTTGTACGTTTCAGGACAATTCATGGTCTCATCTACAACGCGCTGAAGCTGTTTATGGAGATGAACCAGAAGCTCTTCGACGATTGCACGCAGCAAAGCAAGCTAGAAAAACAAAAGTAAGTGATAGGAGAAAACGACGGAGTGACGCTGATGGATATGATCGGCAGGCAGAGTTTGTCACTACAGTTTTAGTCAGTGTCACCGCCCGCTTTTCAAAGTCACGGGTTCGCAGCCATTGCTGTTCCAGCGTTGCCTATAGATCACTGCCGGTGGTCAGACACCGAAGTTGGTCTCATTGAGGCGACCCAGTCCGGCTTGGCTTCACCGAACAGTGGTAGGAGCTGGACTACAGTGCCCACTGCCTCCGGGCCGAGTTATTTTACACTCAGAGCTTAGTTTAAGGCGAATGGCAGAAATGTATACGGTAGAACTGCGATTAGCTGTCCAATTAAGTAAATCAATAGCTGGAAGACCCGATAACAGCCAAGCGATAGACCAGCATTAGTTCATATCGATCCGTAAGTTTACAAGACCCAGCGATTGCGTTAGTTGAGTAATGCAACTGTCGATATTGTGTTTCGATACCACCCGGTGCCTGGCGTGGTGGTTGAGCTGGTATTGATGTGTCTGGCTGTATGCCGAGCCCCGGCCCGGTGTAGACGTCTGGACTGCCGCTCCTGTATGGAGGTTAGAATGTATGGAGGGCATGAACCGGGAGCTGAGCGATGTTTCTGCAGCCGTCTGGTCGAGACTGAGGCTGTAGAGTGTAGGGTGTGCCATCATTCCGGGGTAGGACAATGGTCTGCGTCATGTGGGGGTCGGGCTGTAGATAACGTAGGTACTCCAAGAACTGAACTGTATGCTACAGGCTTTAGAGTCTAGTCTGATTGAGGTCAGGCAAGGCTCGTGTCTGAGCGGACCTTGACTGTGCGTGCACCCCCTAACCGTCCTCCGCCATTGCACAGGGAGCGCGAGCGCCAGCGGATGCACGAGGAGGCGTGGCGCAAGGTGGAAGAGTTGGCCGTGCGCAGCCCGCACTACCCGGCGTTCGCTGACGGAGCGGGCGGCGCGCCTTCAGATGGGGCCGACGGCGTCGACGGGGAGCAGGAGGACGACGACGGCCCCATCGACCCGGAGAAGATCAAAGTAGAGGCGAAACAGGTGCTTGGTCAACGCGGCCTGACGTGGAACACCATCTTTGATATCATTTTCTCCAGGACAACGTACCTCGTCTCCTCGCCCTTGCCCGTCTCTGACGGGCGCTGATGTCTTGTCCTGCTAACACCGCAACTCAAAATCCGCAGGTCTGTCAGCGCTGAATATGTCATGTCCCGTCAGTCTCCTGTCCGTGTCCATGTCCTGTTCCCTCGTGGACTACCTTCATTTTGTTCGTTCTCGGCAGGAGAGTGTCCCTCGGCGGCCGAGAGCTCCATCCAGCCATCTATCCTTGGTCCGATGATACCTGCCCGCCGTCCTGCGTCCGGATTAATCTCTCCCTAACAGGTAAGACTGCTCCTTACTGTAATCTCTGCGTAATCACCGGGGGTCAGCTGGTGCACAGATTGATCCCGGGCTTCTGTGGGCTTCTAAGTGATGTGCCAGCGGTATTTGGCGACGTGAGTCGGTCTGGCCGCCGGCCGACGTGTGCGAGTGAGTGGTCGGCCGCCGGTCACCGCCGGCAGCGACAGACGCCAATCGGGTGGCCGGTTCATTGGGACAGTATCGACCCGGCTCAGTGACCTTCCCGCTCGACGGCCGTGGCGGCGGCGGTGGCCGGCTTAAATCACTGGCCGGCTGAACGGTTTTTATGTCCAGGCCGAGGGACGACTGGGGATGGGCTGTTGCGAGTTCTCTCGGTGTTCTGCCCCAAATGAAGCTTGAAGATTGCATAGAAATTGCCTTGTTACCCGCAAACTACTTGTTAACTTGGAACACAACTGCCTTAATTTGTGTTGTGGTGTTACAATTCAGCTTATAAGGTTGTAAGCCAGTCACAGACGGACACAGTCCATGTAACTAAGTAATTATCTGTGTAGTTATCCGCCTCCGCCTCATCCGTCACACATTATCTTATCGCATAACAAGTAATACCTACACTACACGCTGTCTTACGACGCGGTTATGTCTTTGTGGTGATCTGGTAATATAACGCCAAAAATATTTGGGATCATTTTTATGTTGGCAATTTATGTTAGAATCAGGATAATTGATGTATTGAAAAAAATCAACTAGGCTGTTCCAACCGTGCCACCCTCGCCTGTAAAAGCACACGGCCGGTTTGCCAGTTATATTAACTAAGTGTTGGACGGGAGCCGGTCAGATGACTCGTCGGCGGGGTCTTCGGGCTCAGTGGTGTAGTTTAGATTGTTGAGGCCATTTATTGTCAACGGGCCAAGACGCATTGCCGAATTGGACGGCTGCAATTCGTTGCCAAATTGAGTGCTTTGCATAATTTGCCTCATTCTGTCGGAGGGTTTGAGTGAACCAATATTTCAGAGGGATTAGCATATAAACCACGCGATCATGTGAGCTACAAATTTAGTCTAATGGCTCGGAAAGGTTGAAGTTCTCTTGACTGGTGATGGTGGCATGTCATTATTTGATGGCTTCGGTCAGCCAATTTATCGCCCGATACTGAGTTGGTATCCTCAGAAGATGTCGGGATTATTGATGATCCATTGCATGTACCTTGTGGAGTCTTTTTTTTTGGATCGGGATATGCTTATTGTTCAAGTTACGGACAGCTGTTGCTGTTACGTGTTTATGTGTTCATGTTGGACAGCGATGTCACGAACTAGAATGGAGATGAGAAGTTGCCCGGGCTTTAGGGAAACTCGAACCTCGTAATTGTGACCATCCATGGAATCGTCTGTCTGATCCAATGAGGATCGCTGTTCTTGGGAAACTTCGAATTACTTACGATCGGGCAGGCGTGGAGCATAAGTTTTACGAGCAGACAAACTGTTACGAGCAATTTGTCTACTGCCGGGATGCTTCAGATGCTTTTGCCTCATTTGCTAAAGTAGAGCGATTTTTGTGGCCTTCACCTTTGTCTTAATTCATCATGATAACACGGACGCTGACGGTCGATCTCTCTTACAGGGCTTGGCCAAGGCACCTCAGGGCAAGCCCAAGCCGCTGCTGCGGAAAAAGTCTGAGCTGCCGCAGGACCTGCACACCCAGAAGGCGCTCAACGAGCACAAACGTCCCGACCAGTACCTCACGTCGAGCCCCGAGCTGAAGAACTCCAGCTAGGTCGCCACGCTGCCGCCGCCGCCGCTGTCGCCGCCCGCAGTCCGCGTCTCTCCCCGCTCGCCTCCTATGTGTGCCCCTGCCGCCGCCGGCCGTCCCTGCCCGCCTGCCAGCGCGCCGGGCCCGCCGCCAGCCGTGTAGGACTAGCCGCCGGCGCTGCTGTTGGACGCCCCATAATGTGCGCGCGCGAGCCTGTGTGTGTGAGGAAGAGAGTGGTCTGCACGTGCGAGCGAACTGGCGAGGCGCGCACCGCCCGGCGGCCGCCCCTTCACGCCCTCCGCCCGGCTGTCCGTGGCGCACACACATTCCTCGCGGCAGTGGACCGGAGCGGTCGACACTGGCGCCAATACGCTTCCCGGACGCGCGGCGCCGTCGGCCCCTCTGTGTGCACGTGTGGGTGGCGCACGTGAGCCTGTGTCCTGCGCGCACCCGCAGGAGATAGAATGTGAGGATGGCGGTGGCGGAGCCGCCCCTGGGGCGTCTGCCGTGCTCCACTGCCGCGCGCCGGACGAACAAAGTCGCGCGCGACCCGCTCCCGACGGAAACAAATCAATTAACTGCGCCGCCGCCTTGGACGCCGGAGCCGCCGCGGCCGGGTATTTTATCATCTGTTGTCGAGTGTCAATGGAGTATGTTTTAGAGGGCAGCTTTGCTGGACTGGTGTAACTATGCGGACATTTTTGTGCAATAGGCGGCAAAAATGTGGTGCCGAGTTTACACGACCTCGCGGCCCCGCGTTCGTTTTTAAAACGTGACAGTATTGTTGGCTGAGTGTTTCGCGAAAGCTCGATGTCGTTGCGTCGGCCGCCGGTCAGCGTGAAGATCTTATTCGTAGTTAGCTGTAACGCCTGAGTTACCAGCTAGTTGAGTTTTAACAAGCTATATTTCTGATTTGTGCATAATTTTCTGTTGCCGCCCGAGATGCTGTAGTATCTTTAAATTGCGTTGCTTAACTGTATGTCGGTGTGTGTTCACACTGTTGAAATGTGCTTGTTGAATGGTGGGGTGAATACCAACTGATGGACACGGGAACCAACTGTAGCTGACGGGTCTCGAGATCTGGGCCTTCCGAGGCGTATACACACAGGGCTGCTTCGGAAAGGTGATGCATAGTGCAGACACAGCTATACTGCCTCGCGGTACGCGAAAAGATGATGCATTGCGGAATCGCTACAAACTTGATGTGACTGAGTACTGCCACCAGGGCCCAAGACCAATCGGTACGGGCGTCGCCAGTGCCAATGCTGAGGCAAGGCTGATTACGAGGCATTAACACACAATCTCACTAGTCAAAGGCGGTTGCAGGACTCTGTTTTAGGGTAGTGACACTGACCGTATATTTATATTTCATCGTGGGGTGAACAGACGGTCGCCAGCGCTTGAGAGTGACTGTTCACCAATGACCAAAAGGTGACGCTGATCAGGCCGATTTCAGCTTCGCATCGCCCTACCTACCCGTGTCTTTGGTGATCCTGAAGCTCACATACCCAGGAGTGACATGTATTTTAGTGGTCCGATGCTCCCTTCTCCTACAGTGCAGCGGCAGCAGCTGCCTGAAGTTGTTTACCGCACTCCCGTCTCCTACAGACCCTCTCGACTGACATCTATTCAGGGACAGACGGAGTCTCCAATGCAACTCCACGGCATCCTCCCGGTGCCGTCTGGCCTGTCCGAGTCAGAAAAGCCACGAGACGACGACAGTGAAGAGTTCCCAGAAACAAAACTGCTTCTCAAAACTTAACCCAACCGACCGACAAACGAAAACACACGGCGGGAATTTTGTAATTTTTATTCGAACTCGTAAATGGAATTAAACGGAACAAAGCGCCTCTAGGAGAACAACGGGATTACATACGAACGTAACAGTAACTTGTTAACATTTGCCGAAACACACCAGTCCAAACATAAAATAAGACGAATAACGTGTCTAAAACACCGGTTAACTCACTAACACAGCACACGCATTGCCTCCTGACTTAAAATACAAGCTCTAATTAGGCATAGTTTGTTGGTAAAAACGGTGTAACTGAATTTGTACTCTCTTGCCTGAAACTGAAAATAAAATCAATCATGTATAATAAAATGCTAAAGCTACTAGCAAACATTACCTGAATGTGGAAATCACCAAGAGAAAGAGAGAAGAGTGCACAATATCATTGCAATAAGAAGGGCACGGGCCGGCCGCCACTGCGCGACCGGCCCGTCTCGGCTACGCACACTCACTCGCACGAGCGCCCGCAGGCACACACACGCACACGCACAGTGCAGAGACGGTGCGCGCGGCGCGCCGTGTCTGCGCCGCCTACCCTGCTGCGTCCCGGCCGCGCCCGCCCGCCCGCCTGCCTTATGGAAACGAGCCTGTGATATGTTTCAAAAGGGCACATAAGCGTTTCGGCGACAGGAGACACCTGCTTCTACAAGGCGTGCTGCGCGCGGTCTGCCGCGCCTCCCGCCGGGCGACTAGTCGGCTCACACGCACACCAAAACACGGACAATTGCACGCGCGCGGGCGCGCTCACACCAAGAGATGAGATTAACGATTACACATGGGCGCAGCGGCGGGCGGCGGCGGCCGCCGGGCGGAGCGGCGCTCTGGAAGACTGGCACGGCGGCGGCGGCCGGGCGGCCCGCCTCGCCGTCCGGCCGCCGCAGCCGCCGCCCGCGCCGCCACCGCCGCCAGCCTGGATGGAATGGTTGACGTTGCCAGTTCACTGGAGACACTCGGTTGCGGCCAGGGCGCAGACCGGGGGCAACACCGCCCCCGGCCAAAAGAGCTACAAAAATTTAACTAGCCCAGATTGCCGGCTCGCTTGCGACGAGCCAACCACGCGCCGCAGCTCAACATCGATAAACCGGACACTCGCAAAATCGTATAAATACATACGGCGATTTTACCAGCTGGCCCGACGCGAATATTTTAGACATATAATACAGCAATGTTTGCACAAAATGCACCAAACAAGTTTGTATAACGATCATCACTGGACCCCTACCCATGCTAATACGAACGCTTCATAAACGGTAAACTGCCATCGCTATACAATGTTGCTAATGATCGAGAAAAAGGAAGCGGACAGTAAAATTAGATAGAATGCGGGAAGATCTACTGGCTAAGGCTAAACGGTTGCCAATAACTTGTATATCTGTAAACGAAAAGAAAACAGGACCGACTAATCGGTAACAAACACTAATTAAGGACGCTCTTATCACGTGGTTTGATTATAGGTCACCAGACAGCTATGTATAGGGTGCGCGCGGCGCCATCGGCCGGCCCGCGGGGGGCCGTGAGTACCGTAGGTCGCCATCGCCCACGCTAAATGCGGGTCGGCCAGCCCGTCCTTGGGCCGGCGGCGCGCTAAGTAGAAAGCAGCAGGGTTACCGGCAGACACGCGCTAGGAACGATGTGGCTCGGGGCGCGCCACCGCCGCAGCCGCTGCCACGGCACGCGTGACTATCGAAGACTAGGTAACATTATCATTCGTCTGCGCGCGCGGGCACACCCGCCACACCAGTGAAAGAAATCGGTCATCTTTGGTCAGTGCCGGCCGCGGGACAGGTCTCCGCGCGGCCGCCGGTCGCCGGCCGGCGTCCCACTCACGCACGCTTCACTAACCTAGGGGCGGCGCGCGAACGCACCAACGAACCACGGAGGCGCCGCTGCACGCCTCCGGTCACTCACGCACTCGCGACGAACCCAGAACCCGACTGAGCACACACGCTCTCACACACGCACTCGTTGACGCGCGCGCACTGTCCGTGCGTGTGTCTGTTCACGCGCGTCGGATCGCGTCTGTCGGCAGCCGCGTGTAGACACGGCCGGCTCCGTCCCCGCGCTCGGAGACGGGCGTGGCACAAACATCACATTTCTTCGAAGAGATCCTTGGTACAGGGCCGGCCGCCGGGGCGCGGGCGGTCAGGGACGGGGTACGCTGCTGCTGCAGTCTACGGGGGACGACACAGTGGGCTGAGTATTAGACGAGCGTGGCCCACGGCGGCGGGCGGCGCGCGCGGCGCGAAAACACGCCCGACGCCGCCCAGCCGCCGGCTCCGACCCTGTTCACGCGCAGGCGCGGCAAAAAACCGGGCAAAAACGCTAACAAACAACAAGGCATCTGACATCGGTGGATGCAAAAATACTGCGGACGCGCGGAAAGCCAGACAATTGAGCAACCGATTTATGCCAGTCCCTGTCAGTGGCGGTGTGGGATTGAGGCGCGCTGGCTGGCGGCCCGGCCGGCCGGCGGGGCCCGGGAGGGGCCGGGCGGCCCGCCGGCCGTCGCCGCCGCCGTCGCCACGGCGTCTAGGCGATGTACAGGGTGTTCAGCACCAGCACGTGGTGGTTGTTCTTGGCGATGGTGATAATGTAACCCTCGTGGGTGAGCTTGAGGCCGCAGCAGCGCGATACCTGGCGAAAGGACAGGGGTCAGCCAGATCCTAGCAGCGATCCAACGAACCTACACCCGCCCTCATCACCACTCACCCTCCCCTACACTCACTCACTCCAAGCCACGGCCCTGAGGCCGCGCCGCGCCGGGCCACGGCCACTCACCTTGACGTGCGGACACTCAAACTCTGAGAGGAGCTGTCCGTTGCGGCTGAACACAGCCACATGGAACTTGTTGCCGTGCGAGTCGCCGATGAGCACGTCGCCGGCGTCGGAGACGTCGATGCCGTTGGGGAAGTTGGTGATTGTCTCGGAGCCCAGTCGGCGCAGGAACTGGCCCTCCGAGTCGAACACCACCACGCAGTGGTTCTTGAAGTCGCAGATGTAGTACTCGTTACCTGTCCGGCAGATAACACGCTTTAGCAACACGAACAGACATGTCTGGTCACACCAAATATGAGACACAATCTGCCATGTCTGTTCTTTCATACCACACATGAGACACATAAGCAGTGCAGACATTGCACAGCTGTTCAGTTCGTTGATCAGTTTCGCCGTCGACCATGACTCACCGCTGACAGCGATGTCGGACGGCTCGCGCATGTAGTTGCTACAGTCAAACCACTTGATCAGGCTGCCGCTCTCGGCGATTACGAACACGGTCGGCGTCACACTGTCCACCACCACGATGTGGCCAGCGTTGGAGATGGCCAGGCCGGCCACTATGTCGATACAGCTGTGGAGACGGATGCAGGATTAGTATGAGATGACAAATACACTGGATCGAACGAAGATATAGCATTTGAGCTTGGTAAACGGATACAGGCACAAACACAATCACATTACGGAGATCACTGGCGAGGTCGCCTCAGGACAACATTATAACACGTGCGACGAGAGAATAAGACTCAGAATCAGAATCAGACAACACAGGACCAACAGACGAACTGCCCCAGACGAGACGTCGAGTGTCACTCCCCGAACCGGCTTAGTCCCGCGCCTCACACTCACCGAATGGAGATCTTTCTGACGAAGTAGCCGTTGCGGTTGAAGATCTGCATGCGCGACCGCTCACTGCCGCGGTCACAGACGACAAACTTTCCCGACGACCTGATGACGGCCACTTTGCGCGGGTACCACAGCTGGCCCTCGTCCTTCCCCGGCGAGCCGAACATGTACTTGAACTCGCCCGTCTTGTCAAACATCTGTCAGATGGAACAGAGGGAAAGGAAGAGTCAACGAACGCTCGTACCAATTTGCCAGAGAGCACAAATAAATTGTACTTTTGATAAGATAAGTTGAAATTAGCTTAGTGTGAAAATAACGCATGCCGGTCCCGTAGCTCAGTCGGTAGAGCGTTGGGCTCCGCGTAGTGAGAGCACGCGTTCCCGGTTACAACAGTCCGGGTTCGAGGCGCGACGGGCGCTTGACGTTTATGGGCCTCCTGACAGGTATGATTGCGGTTGGTGGCAGGCCGTAGCCAGGAGAAGTCAGTGAGGGGACCGGCCGTGCGCGGCTATGTGCGCACGTTAAACTTTGGACTCTAAATTCTGCCATAGCACCGGAATTGCGTCATCGGAGGGTAGAGGGCAGGGTCAACGCAACAAGCTTCGCTTAGCGGGGGCTCTGTCCTTGTGAATCCTTCCGA